ACACACACACACACATATATAACTGAATCACTTTGCTGCACACCTAAAACACTGTAAATCAACTATACTCCATTTTCTTAAAATCACATTGAAATTTCTTCTAAGAAGTGGTTCATGAAAGCAAAATCCCTTAATCAGCTTAGATGGCATCCTTGTATGTATGGAGGCCTGCGTGTCTGCCTTGCTGGCAACGTCTCCAAAAACCCTGTTGACCTTCTTGACTGATGTCTGTGCCTAAAGGGAACACTGACATTTCCACTCTTTGGCTGTAACCTAGTAACACAGTGGAGACTCCACAGTGCCCGTGTTTGATTCTGCAACTCCAAACCACGTTGGATTTTCTTCATCTGGGAGACAAATGAAGTACTCGATTTCCATTAAGGGAGAAGGTTCAGAACACTTGAAATCTCTCTCTAGAGTCATCAGTGAGCTGAAGAAACGGCCTGAAAGTGACAAGGACAGAAGAGAGGGTCTCCCATCACATGCGATCCATCAGGGAGGCTCTAAATTCCTACTGGCTAAAAGTGGTCCACAGACCAGCAGCATCTGGGGACTTGTTAAAAATGCAGAATGTCAAGCCTGACATCTCCTACCAATCCCTAGGTGTCTTTCGCGTGATTCTGCGCACACTCACGTTTAGGAAGCATTGTTCTTACTCTCTATTCTAACAGGTACAGATTATTTTCTTGAAAATGTTCACACGATGCCTCCATTGAAAACTGCCTATCTAACTCACAGCCATTTATGCTAACCTAACCTAACCAGAAGCTCCATCCAAAGTCCTCCTAGAGATAAAGTTTATTCTCCATTAAATTCTCTGAAGTTCTCCAGCGATGCTGACGGTGTGAAGAACTTCTTAGGTGTTTCCTTCTAAATTAGCCAATGCTGCTTGTATTCCGGGTCTAATCGTTCTCCAAGTGAACAAAAACCTGATTTTACAAGCCAGTGGAGCAGAGTCTCTCTTTGGCCAGAAGAATGAGTCTCAGAGAGTGTGTTTTATTTCTTCATTAGTGTGCCGTCACAGTGAGCGATCACTAAACTCAGGGCTGCATAAGAATGTTGGGGTTAAAGACAGCATAATGAACAAAGAAGTCCCTGATTATCATGGCTGTCAGCACAAGGGGATTGGGTTTGTCACCTGGCTTAACCAACTGGGAAGAACTGATTAGAGGCTGGAATCACTTTGAAAGGATCCCTGATGTTTATGTTCCTTTCCATCCCCACATCTTGTCAGGAGAAGCCGATAAAGCTGGGGGCGGGGCGAGGGGGAAGGGCTTCATTTTCTGGGTTATTTGATCAAGGGGTTCTCTGAGAAACTCCCACTGTCTTCTCTATTGAAAAATCTACCACCGCACTGTCCAATGGAACTTTCTGTGATCATAGAAATATTCTATAGCAGTGCTGTTCAGTATGGTCACCGCTAGCCACATGTGGCTGTTGAGCCCTGAAATGTGGCCATTAAAACAGTCACGTGTGCCTCGTGGCTACCGTCTTGGACAATGCAGGTCCACTGTATTCACCAGGATGGAAGAAATCTAGAAGGAGAGCCGTAGGCTAGAATAGATTCTAATCCTTTTGTTTAATTTACTAGTCTATCTGTTAGCAAAATATGGTCACCTCCCAGATTACCCCTATCTCAAAGAGGTCTTAAAGAGTCTTGTGTAGTTAATATTTACTAAATTAAAAAATAAAACTTAAAAATTCAACTCTGCAGAGAAGTGGTCTCAACCTTGTCTGTACAGTAGAATTATGGGGGCAACTTTTGAAAATACTGATGCCTCAGTCCTACCCCCAGAGCTTCTGGAGTACAGTACAGCCACTGGTAATTTAATCATGTAGTCAAGTGAGACAAGCCCTTTAGAGGGGCAGTGAGATGCACTGGCTGTCTGCTGTGGAGGTCATTTGGGGAAGGAAGTGACCAGCTGGGGATAAAAGAAGAGAACAAACATTCGTTATATCCCTACCATGTGCCAGACCTTTGCAAATATCTTCTTGTTTAATTCTTCTTCTTCTTTTTCTAAAATATTTATTTATTTATTTGGCTGCTCTGGGTCTTAGCTGCAGCACACAGGCTCTTCATTGCCATGTGTGGGATCTTTAGTTGAGGCATGTGGGCTCTTTTAGTTGCAGCATGCAGGATCTAGTTCCCTGATCAGGGATCGAACCCAGACCTCCTGCACTGGGAGCACGGAGTCTTAACCACTGGACCACCAGGAAGTCCCTTCTTGTTTAATTCTTAAAACCACCTCACAGGTAGATAGTGAGAATCCCATTTTATAGATCAGTAAACTGAGGCTTGGAGAGATTAAATAGCCTCTCAAGTGTGTGGTATTAACATCAGCACTGTGTTTCCTCTTAACTCAGAGTCAGAGAGATACAATAAATGCAATGATCTTGTTAGGAGAGTGTTAAGGATCACATATTGCTTTGGTATTTTCATGGGTCTCTTATCAATGGCACAAAAAGCCACCTCTCTTGAAAACAATCTCTGAAAAATGCAAAAGTTACTTTCATGTTAAACTTTCAGGTCTAACCATAGGCTAAAATCAATATTTTCTTTCTCTCATTTGCGTAGTCAGGGTAAAGCTAATAATCTACTCCTACAGAAACATACAACTCCAAGGGTTCAGAAACCACTTTTACACATATGGTAAACATACCAGTAACTCAGGCATGTGGCAGCCTTTGGGGTCTCCCTAAGCTCCCACACAGCAAGCTGCAAGAATTAAGTGATTGGCCCATGGCCCCCCAGAATGCTAGATAACAGATCAGAATCATAAGACTAAAAATACCTGGGAGAAAAAGCCAGGTTGTCTTGCCATCAGAGGTGAATTTTATGAGGTTCACCATCAAGCCCCAGCCTGGAGAAGACTTATCTGTGTGGAATGTAGGTGCTGGACTGCATGATGCAAATTGAGGGCAATTATCACACTGTTGTCCCACTATATTTCCCTTTGAGCTTGCTATTGTGCCCTAAAATCTCAACTGGAGAAATGTTGGTAGTGGGTGTGGACAGAGGAGGAGAGTTCATTATTAAACTAATTGCACACAATGGAACATAAGAGAAGAATATTTAGATTGGAAAAGAAACAGGCTGGACTTGAGCATATCAAATATACATGGCATCCAGAGAAAGTACTTAGTCTATGGAAGGAACAGAAAAAGAAGATGAGGAAATCTTCGTCCAGTTATGTTTACAACTAAGTCTGGCCCTAATATACTCCTTCCCTCTGAAAATGTGTGCATGAGCTAAGGAAGAGGGCAAGAGTGCCTCCCAATAAATAGAAACTGTGTGAGGCTTCTGGTCTTGCAGCACGACCACCAAGCTGGGGTGTAGTCCTGGTCACGACCCCTAACATCTCTGAGCTGGTAGTTACCTCATCCCTAAAATAAAGATAATGTCTAGCTCATAGATTGTTATCATATGAGCCCTGTGATAAGTTAATCAAAAGTGCCTAATGCATCACCTGGGTATAATGATAAAATGGTTGTTGTAGTTATTATGACAATAATTATTATCCTCTCTGGTTATGAAATGAACTCCGGAGGGTACAGCAATTTCAGTACAAATTTGGGATGGCCCTGCAGTTTCTCCGCTCATTCCTTTTTTAGGTTGTTGTTTTGCTTTTTGTTTTTGTTTTGTTTTTGTTTTTGTTTTGTTTTTGCAGTACGCGGGCCTCTCACTGTTGTGGCCTCTCCCGTTGCAGAGCACAGGCTCCGGACGCGCAGGCTCAGCGGCCATGGCTCACGGGCCCAGCCGCTCCGCGGCACGTGGGATCTTCCCAGACCGGGGCACGAACCCGCGTCCCCTGCATCGGCAGGCGGACTCTCAACCACTGCACCACCAGGGAAGCCCTCTCCGCTCACTCCTTTTAAAGGTGGTCTTTGACTGGGCTAGACAATGGCCCCCCAGCTGACCCAACTGACTCCAAACCAGAAAAACAACCTGCTATCTGCAGTGATGTTTGCAGGCCAGCCAAGATGGAATGTTCGGTAGTTAAGGAACAAAATAATGAAAGTCCTGATGACAGTAAAAGCTAACATCTGTCAAGTAGCATGATTTTATACATTTTACATAGTATGTAAATAACATGAGTGTACTGAGTAGCAACAACCATGAGGGAGGTACTATTATTAGACCATTCTACAGATGAGGAGACTGAAACTTAAAAGGCTAGATAGTCGTTTGGGTACTAAATGGTGGGCTGCGAGACAAAGCCAAAACCTGTGGAAAGCCCCTGTGCCTGGCCACTCAGCTCTGTCCCTCCAAACACAGTCTCAGTCAATGAGAACACAGGGGTGGAATACCCGGGCCCACCACTCCCTGCTCTGGTCAAGGTCATAGCCACTGCAGGGTCTATGAATCCCAGAGTATGCATGAAAGGAATGTCAACCCCCGGAAACACTGTCCATGTAAAGTGTGAGAAAGGAGTTCTCTATTCCCCTGCATACCGAGGTGCCAACCCATCCATTCCTTAACCCAGCATGTGTTCAGTGTCTATCATTAAACAAGCATTTATTAGGATCCAGGTCTAAATGTTATGAACACAAAACTCTGAGGAAAGAAGGAAGAAGGGTAATGACATTGCAAGCTATGACATCTGTGCACAGAACTGAAACCACTTGCCCACATGTGATCCCATCCTATACCTGTTTCCCTTGCAGCTGTCACTCTTCCCCAGGAGTCCTAGATGAAACGGTAAAGCCGTTTATAAATTCCAGTCTCAGCTCTAATTACACTGTGTCAGACAACCCCTGAATGTTCAATCTCTGCTCCACCAAGTCGTCTGTTGGCAGCTGTGCATCTTGAAGGCGACAAACTCAGTGAGAAAGAGCCTTTCTTTCCCTAAGGATTGCCCCTGCTCTGACTGGGAAAAGATGCATGTTTCATTTCATTTGCCCCCTGCATGGTTATCCTGGGAGAAGGCCTAGCAGTGCCCTGCTAGGTGGAAATGAAAGCTGTTGGTATCTAAGAAACGGGAGATGAGCGTACAACTTACGGGTGCAGGGCATGGAGGCAGCATCGCTGTCGGCTCTGAAAAAGCCTCGGTCACAGGTGCACGACGTGGCCCCTTCCCAGACAGAATAGCTGTGTGGTGGACACTTGGCACAGCTGGCGTCCGTGGACAGGGCCTTGTAATATCCAATTTTGCAAGCTAAAGGAAAGCAGAAAAAAAAAAAAAATCAACATAAACCCCTGATAACATAGCAAAGCGAAATGTTACCTCCTTGATTCAGAAGAAAGGAGACATTTTTGCTAATCACTAGTGAGCATCTGGTTTGAGATGCAGGTAAAACAACCCAAAACATTTGTTGATAACAGTCACTCTTTAAGAGCCATTAACATTACGGTCAGGTGGCAAAGCCCTGTGGAAAAAAAATTTCTTAAAACCAGTTGTGTCAATAAAAGCACAGCTGAAGTTTACCCCGCGCTTCCTACATGCTTATATGCATGATGCCGTTTGATCCTTACGGTGCCCCCTTTCCACAGGCACTGTTACTAGTCTTACCTTGGAAATGAGGAATACCAGCTTTGAGCGGTAAACTGTCGGCACCAGACCATGCATCTGGTAAATGTCAGGGACCAGCTTTGACTGCAAGTGCTCGGCCCCCAAAGCCTGTACTCTTGGCCCCATGCTATGGAATCTGACAGCATGGTTTTGAACCAAATAGCTGGAAGTGTATCCCAGCGCCAACAAAAAATTGGTAGGTGATTATTTCTTAATTACGCTCAGCTACAGAGAGAACCAAAGTGAAAGACCAACAGAAGCAACCAAGCATAAAAGAAAAGAGTTGGTAAGACATGGATCATGATTTCAGGGGAAAATAATATAAAACTACCCACGGTAGATTCTGGAATATAATATGTTCAGATTTTTTTTCAAGATTGGCAGATATTGGCGTTCATTTTCAAATTCATAAAACCCTCATGTTTCCCCCTTCCTCCATTTTTCCAACGCCGCCCTCCCTCTGCACACACAGCCCAAGTGGCTGGTGGAGAGAAAACATGGGCCAGGGCCATATAGTTCCTTATGCACCTGACACGCTTTCCATGACCTCATCTAACATCACACTGACACCGAGGACCGCTCTGACTAATGTGGAAAGACTCAATAATTCTGGGAAATCTCACTATAAATAATAATTAATAGCGTCTTTCTCTCCCTTTTTTTTCTCCCCTATGCCCTTCAAGATCACCTCCCAAATCTGTCTCAACCTCAAATAAAAATTGACTGACACCATCCATATTAAACCCACAGTGACAAGGCCATTAAAAATAAAGTTATTTTATGAGACCAGAGGTACGATAAAAATGTTACAGTTACCCACAATCTTTCCAGTATGATTCCCTCTCAATTTTCTCCATTTATCACACACTTTGGGTATTTCTAAATTATCAAAAATATCAGCTGGGAGAAGGGCCTTTTCCATCAGCGTGACCACCGCAAGAGACCAGCCGCGCCAGCAGATTTTACTCAAACCAGTAGATAAAAAGAGATCCACAGAACTATGTGATTCTCCGAGGAGAAATGGCCACATTCCCTGTCTCGTTACTCATCCATCAAGCATCTGTACGGCTTCAAGTTGAAGTCTGTTCCCCCGTCCAGCACATCCTGTTGGTATTTTCTTAATCATGCTCTGGTAACGGCAGGCGGAAACGGAGTTCAGCAGAAGCACCAGAGAAGCGCGCAGTTACTTCACCATTATTAACTAAAGTTGCTTATGGAATTTCCTTTAACGAGCCAAAACTTTATGGCGTGTGGAGCACCGACAATAAAAGCTCTCGGAGATCAAGCTCTCCCTTATTTGCTTTCGTCTGTCACTGGACCGCAGCATCTTAGAAAAACAAGTTGCTCCAATGACTATGACTGAGATTTATGTCTCAATATGATACGCATCATATCATTAGATAAGGTTCAACATGCAAGGTGCTTCTTGGTCACGCTTAAGATGGCCCTAGGGTTTCGATTAAAATCAAAAACTGTGGCTTTGGCAGGAAGAAGCACAGAGGGTCAAACTCGTTCTTTCCACTTCAAACACAATGAGTCCTTGAACTTGACACAAACCCACTGGGTCTCGTGTCTCACTCAGTCAGTCACAGCCCACAAAGGCAACTTGTGGAAACCTGGTCGCTCGGGGCTGGGACGGCCAATAAGGGATAAATTGCTTTTATTTTTTCACATCTGGATGTTGGAGGAAAACTTTCCACGTTCCTGCCTAATCCTTGTGCACCTTCGTTTCATCAGGCATCAAAATGTAACAACTCACAGTGGGAGAGGGAGATTGACAACAAAATTGGCCTATGACTGATTCATTGCCATGTGAAAACAGAACACATTCAAAAACTTAAGGAAAAAAAAGCATTGCTATTTCCTCCACTTCTATTCCAATAAGACTACTTCCAGTTAAAGAATTGAATTCCTAGTTCACAAAAATCAAATTGAAGGATATCTTGAATTTCCTAAAGTTCAAAAATTAGTTGTATATATACATGTTTATTTAAGGGAAAAATGAATTTTCAGTTTTATACTTCTTTTCTGTTTCCCTGAAGCTAGTATATTAATGTTACCAAGAGTAAGTATTTGTGAATTTATTTGGAGAATACAGAGTTTTATATCTATTTGGGAAATTGAAGGCTGCTGTTCTTTAAACACACTATTTTTACTCTCTTTTCCTCTTGCTTTTACAAGCGCAAGCAGAAAATACAAAATTGTCATTGTGCTATTCTCAGCGACCCTTGCTACCCTTAACACATTCTTGTGTCTTCAACTACATTAAGACCATGTTATTAATATTTCAGGATACAAAATACAGTAGTGGTTTTTCATGCACACAGCCATTTTTGCTGCCTACATTCAAAATGACCTTCTAAACTGATGGCTAAGTACATTTCTTTGCTCTGTGTGGTTCACAGCCTTGCAGCGTTTGGTGCATGGATGTGTACGTACATTCCATATTTAATCACCATTTATTTGCGTCTTAAAATCTTCACTACATCTTTCATTCTAAACAAAACCCCCATGAAACGTGTATAGCAAGCATTGACACGTGTTATGATTTTCCATCATTCTCTTTTGGGTGAAAACCATTACACTGTAGTTTTGAATGATAGTGACTTGGTAAGCAAGTTTGGAGAGAGCCCAACTGCACACCCAAGACATGCCTTCCTTCTGCCCCGTTGCTGGTGAGGGTTCACTAGATGGGGTACAGAAAAGGAGTGCCTTACTTGATCTTTCAAATATGCCATTGTGGGAAGATTAATTCACATGTGCCATGCAAAACTCTGAATTCTCCTCCGTTAGCTTTGCCTTAATTAGTTCCTTCTGCTGACTTTAAATAAAGGAAGACAAATGAGGACAAAGAAGAGAAAGAAAAACTTTTGTTTCATTGGCTGACCCACTACTATAATGAGGTTGTATTTTAGGACAGTCTTCTGTAGAAGTTCCTTTGTGGAATATTTAAATATAACTACTTTTGGTTAAAAACAAAAACAAAATGGTTCTTAAGGCAAGGTAGTATCTTCAGGATTTCTTAGTGTATAGATGATTTGCATGAGGTGGAATGCCCAATTTCAGGAACTAGTGAAGCCTACTCTTAAAAGATATTATATATATAGATGTTTGGTCATTTTTCTCCTTTTTAGAGAAATACAGAAAGATTGATTGCACCTGACTGCCTTTATAGTTCACATTTAAACTCATTTAGTTTGTAAAAATAGCTACTAATAATATCAATTGTGATGATACATCAAATATTCATTGAGCATTTACAGTGTTTACATGCAAATGAAAAAACTGAGGGTTTTAAGTAACTTGCCCAAGGTCACACAGCTAAGTGGTGGAGTCAGCATTAAGACTGACTTCTAGCAAAATGTGACACTGATATAATTGAGTGATGGGGAGGTACGGGTGGTCCCAACTTCCATTTGTCCCTCCAGCCCACCAGGTTGCTGCCTCGGTCAACCACATGTCTGTGACCCACTTTCCAGGTCTACACTGTCCAGAGTAACTACTGGCCACAAGAGGGCCCTGAGTGCTTGAAACGGGACTGGTCTGAATTGAGACAAACTGTAAATATGAAATACACAGGAGATTTCAAAGACTTCGTACTCAAAAAGGAGAACTAACTTATTAATAATTTTTATATTGATTACATATTGAAGCAACATTTTGGATATACTGAGTTAAATAAAATACCATTAAATTTAATGTCACCTTTGAAACTTTACATTTTTTAATGTGGCTACTGAAAACCTTAAAATCATCTGTGTGACTTGCACTGTATTTCTATTGAATAATGCTATGCTAAAGTCTGGAATCTTAAGTCGCGCGCGCGCACGTGTGTGTGTGTGTGTGTGTGTGTGTGTGTGTTCATGTGTGACCACACACAGGCACTCTTGCAAATGCTGGGCACTGACAGTGATGGGGAATGGACCTTTACTCAAATTTACCCCGAACCCACCTCTGGGAGTCTGATTCACTTCTATTTAAGCACTGCTCTCAGGCAGCTGGCTAATTTGAAAAAACCTAATTTGTGCTAAAGTACTAACAAATAAACATTAATGTGTTAAAAATTACCTTCCTGGGTAACAAATTTGCATTTTAATTTGGAGTCTCCAGAAGGTTAAAGATGAAAGTCCAACAGTGGCTCCCTTGGGGCAATCTGAGCCATTTTTGCAAACTGGTCCAGGGGGAACATTTGGCTGTGGGAGGCCTGGGGTCCCTCTACCCTCATCCTGTGGGTAGGATATTAGGCACACACTTCCAGACGGGTACTATGGGGAACTCTGCCTTTGGTGTGCTGGATATACAGTATTTTCAGTATGCTTAGGAATTTATTTTAGAAATATCAAAGTTACGTAATGGCCATTATCAAATTAGTTTCTGATTAACTGTTCACTTGCTAGACTGTATATTATATGAATAACATAAGAGGTTTTCCTAAGGGGAAAACAATCTATCAAAGAGAATTTCTGGGGGCTTCCCTGGTGGTCCAGTGGTTAAGACTCCGTGCTCCCAATGCAGGGGACACAGGTTTGATCCCTGCTCAGGGAACTAAGATCCCGCATGCTGCATGGTGAGGCCAAAGAAAACAAAAATTTTATTTAAAAAAAATTAAATGTATAAAAAAATTAAAAAATAAAATAAAGTGAGGT